ATTATATCGTCTTATTTTGCGACGATACCCAACCCGCACTCAATCAGTTGGCAATTAGTGTTCGTAAGAATGGCATGTGCTTTCCACCTTCGAAGTGCAAAGTACTTTTACAAGACGGGTAGGACCCTTAACCTGCCGTCGTCTAGTTAGCCTGGCCGTGTGCTTGTGAAACCACGCCTGTCCGAGTTGAGGTTGAGTGACTGTGTTTTATCATCCTTGTCTCTGAAGTATTGCTGACAGACAGTGACAACACTCTGTTAACGATTCAGAGGTTCGACAACGAATGTTTGGGCAAAGTGATAAGTCAATTAGTGTCACCATCTTCAAACACCAACTTTAATGGCTTGGACATGTACTATGAAGGTTGTCACAGCGAATTCAACATCGTGCATTATTATTTTCCAATGCTGGGACTGGTTGGGAAACGTAGAGGTGGTCAGTGTATGAAATGGTGTGATAGTATGAAAGAAAGCTGTACAGGACTGGGATCTGTCGGACCCTAACAACTTAGTTGGGTCCCTAAATAAAGTGCAATATAGTGGTTTGGGACGCAATCATCATGCATGATTCAAAAGAGAAGTCAGGGGCGATCCTTCTGCAATTTTCTTTATAAAAGCGAGAGTAATTTTTATAACTGAGAGAATAGTGAGTTCATTATTTGCGTGTGGACTGTGATACTGCCCGGGTGCCCAAACCGAAGCAGGTGGTTATCTTAGGGGGCCACACCCCGAGCCTTTGACCTGGAGGTCTAACACATAAGGCAGTGGAGCATCGTAAGGAGATCCAGTCCCATGGTAGCCGGTGACCAACAATTGGTTCATACTCCATTTGTTTCCGCAGGATACTGGAGCCCATGTGCACGATTGGTTCGGAATCAGAACTCACCGATTCCCCTAAGGGGACTCTCCATTTCCACCAACCCGGTTAAAGCGCCGGACATTCGCTTTTCATCCTCTCATTTTCGTAAAAAACACCCCAGCCACGAGAAGGCAATGAGTAGGACTTCCCTAGCAGAGGCTGTATACGCGTGGCCGTGTGAGAGTATTTCGAGAGGGAGAGCGGACTCTCCCCACTCTCGGCCGAACCAGGGCATTCGGGGGCAAAGTTGGTCAGTGCATGACAAGGTGTCGTGGCATGAAAGAAAGCTGCAAAGGACTGGCTCCTGTTGGTCCTTCACGACTCCCTGGTTGAGGTCCGAGAGATGGTGCTACACAGTGGCTAGAGACGTTATCAGATATGGCTCAGAATAGAAGCCAGTGGCGATCCTGTTGTAACCTTCTTTTACTTTCTTCATAAAAAGTAGTTGTATCTTCCTTACCTGAAAGATTTCTTCCGATTGTACCTTTCCGTTCCCTCATTACTACCACACTACCTTACACCAATCTCTTCGTTATTGTTCCCTTTTTTTACGCTCCTTACCTTTTTTTCTTTTCTCTTCGAATTCTCATTGTTTTGTGTGGCGCATGTATATTGGCGCTCTCTTGTACCAATATTTATGTGTTCAAATAAATAAATAAATAAACTGAGAGAATCCCTTCTGACTGTATTTTCGTTAACTAAACTGCTTCTCCCATTATCATTATTATTTCACTGTCACACTAATTTCTGTTCATTGATATTGTGTGGCGCATATACATTTAGTCCCCGTTGTACACATGTTTGTGTTCAAATAAATAGATAAATACAAGCTTCAAAAATATCGAGAAATGAATACATTTCTCGTATAGTATTTGCCATTCATGCGCAAACTTCTTTGAGAAAATAACAGTAAAAATGCATGCACAAGTTCAGTGTTATTTTGTTTTATTTAGAGAAAAAGCTTTATACAGAAAGAGATCAAGAAAATGCATGAATACATGGAAGAGGAAATCATATGATAAAAACAATGAGTAGCGGAGGCTACCAATAGAATAAAAATACAACATATATTAAGGTAATCTTAAAAGTACATTTTATTGACCTGTGACTTGGGAGACTCTATTTAAAATGTTATGATATTCTTACAGCTTCTATTCGCACGCAGTTTTAAGCTCAATGACTCATGTTAGCTTTTCCTATTCAGTCCCAGAGTCAGTACATAAACCTTTATAAACAGCATCTGCGATAATATACGTATGACCAAGGTCGAGAAGACTTCACTTTAATTTTTAAAGTACTTTCATATGACTGTGTTTATAATCCACATTGGAGGAATTTTAATTCACTAAGACAGTGGTCTTTCGACATACATCAGGTGACCGTCCGATATTTAGGCTAATTTATTGAACCCAGAAATTACATATAAGAGTTAAAAATAGCTTAATTTTAAATCACTGACAAAATGCAGAGTCTTCTGACCACTCTAAGCAACAATGCAAGCATGTTCGGGATGCGATTCTCTCCCTCGAAATGCAAAATGTTGCTTCAGGATTGGGTGGCATCGACACCCGAACTAGTGATAGGGAGTGAAGTAGTTGAGTGTGTAAACCGCTTCATTTATCCTGGAAGTCTCATCAGCCCTTGTGGTCTGGCGTGTGACGAAATCTCAGCACGGATACAGAAGGCTCGACTAGCTCTTGCCAACTTGCGTCATTTATAACGTAGGCGAGATATCTGTCTATCAACCAAAGGACGTGTTTACTGCGCAGCAGTTCGTTCCGTCCTACTTTATGGCAGTGGAACATGGCCGGTAAGAGTAGAGGATATACGTATGTTATTAGTATTCGATCATAGGTGTCTTCGAAACATTGCTCGTATATCATGGGACCATCGAGTAAGTAACGCAGTTGTTAGGAAACGGGTACTGGGTAAGGATGGCAAATCAATTGATGAAGTAGTGAAACTTCATCAGTTGAGATGGCTGGGACACGTGTTACGTATGCCCAACGACCGACTGCCTCGACGTGCTATGTTCAGTGGTATAGGAGTAGGTTGGAAGAAAGCTAGGGGCGGTCAAACCAAAACATGGCACAAGTCCATGAAGTCACTGACAAATGAACTGAGTCATGTTGGTAGGTGTAGACTACCTGGTAGGGGACCGCGAGATGATAGCAACCGATGGTTAGACCCTGAATGACATGGCTCAAAATCGTTTGCAATGGCGCAGGTGCATCCACTCTCTGTGTTCTCTCAAATTCTAATCTTCTGAATTCTTCATGTCCCTTTTTTCCTCTTTCCAAATTTATTCCACTGGATTATACTCTTTAAATAACATCTCCAAACCCTAATCTTCCCGACTACTGCTTATACTCTTATAACCTCTACCACTATGGGATTTGAATCGACAACTGCATCTCTGTGCTAATGTGGTGTGGCAACTCGAACTGATGTACGTACGTACGAAGTTCTACGTTGTTACTGACTGAATTTTAAATCACTGTTGTAGATATTTCAGGATCTCAAAATGAACGTATTAAACCATCTTCATTTATTTATTTTAACACAAATACTGGTACAAAGGAGCACAGAATTTATATGCATCACACAAGTCACTTGATTTGTGTGTGGGCTGTGATACTGCCCGGGTGCCCAGACCGAAGCAGGTGGTTTTCTTAAGTAGCCACACCCAGAGCCTTCGACCTAAAGGTCTGATCCACAAGGCATTGGAGCAACGTCGGGAGATGCAGTCCCACAGAAGCCGGTGACAAACGATCCTGGAGCCCATGTGCATCATTGGTTTAAAACCAGAGTTTTCCAACCCCCCTAGGTGGACTCTCCATATCCACCAACCTGGTTAAAGCACTGGACGTTCGCTTTCCGTCTTTTCAATTTCGCAAACACCCCCGCTGCGAGAAGGCAGTGAGTAGGACTTCCCTGGCAGTGGCTGTATACGCGTGTCCATGTGAGAGTATTTTGAGAGAAAGAGCTAACTATCTCCACCCTTGGTCGTACCAGGGCATTTGGAAGCATTAAACTACTTTGACCACCATAAATTGTGGAGATACATTTAAAATTGCTTTGATACCTTGTAGGTTACACTTAAGTACCTATGTGGCATAATACAATGCAAAGTGAAAAATAAAAATAATAGGACTAGTACAAACTAAATAACCTCGGATAACTTTATTTACATGCAGCATAAATCAAAACTAGAGATTAAACCCTACAAAATGGATCCTTCATTCAAATAGATGTACCCTTGTTATAAACTAAATTCCAAAGGAACCCTCTACACGTACTCAAGACAAGTGGACAACAATCACCTAAGTCTATACGACAAGCTAATTTGGCTGAATGATCACATGGATTTATATTATCTTTCTTCCATGATTAAAATAATGAACATGAAATATTACAAGTTTCATACAAATGAGAGTAAATCACTAGAGTACAATCCGGGACGAACGCCCAATATGGTTTTAGTATATGGCGTATTACAACAAGCTGAGCAAAAATTAACAAGATGAAAAGTAAAAAAATATCTCAACGACAATGGAGATTTAAACGGGGGATAACTACTTAGCTGGTGATTTCAAAATCAAATGAACACTTAATCATATCCTCAAGGGTAAATCGCTTATCTATTATAAATTGTTCGTACGTATGGTCAATGTATTAAATATACAAAAAAAAGTGTTGTACCACTGACTAAATGATAAGAAGACCATGACTAGACTTGTCGCCGAATGACCCCGTCATAACCAGATACCTTCAGGAGAAAATTCTTTTCATCATTACTTAGTCACCGCTATAATTCCATTCCCGTACATTTACACGTTGTAGACACTCGTCATTAAGGATCAGCACTCTATTCGTGAGCAAGAGTAATCACTAGTTTTTTATTGTTGTTCAAAATAGAGGAAACACTAAAATGTAGCACTTCATATTTGAGTGTAATTCTTGTGGTTTTGGGAGTACATAAATCATTCTACAATGTTTTTTTCGGACGGAAGGTACTAATTTAGTATAGAATATCAGTTGGGAAATTGGATTTTGTAAATTTAGGTACGAAAATAAAAACAAGTATTGCTCATCATAATGTACTAACAAAAGTATATGACTCATGAGTATAAAAAATCCATTCAGTTTGAAATTGTTCCTTTCATCATTTCAAATGCAGCAACCATTCTTTCACGAGTTTCATTGAGAAGTTGATCAACTTGTGATTTATTCATCCCCTTAGTGTCAATTTTCGGTAGGACCTTCACTTTGTAAGTGGCTGAGTTATAAAAACAAACATAAACGATGTTATTATCGTCCTAAAATTTATATATTCTAACTTTTTAGTTTCTTGAACAGGAAAATAATTGAATGTAGTTTGATGCAAAACTATTTACAAATGCACAACCACTTGTTTACTACTACTGCAAGCTCTGAACAAAAAACCAGATGATGAAATAAGTACTGTATAAGTAATGTTAATATGTGATCTATAGTCCGTTTTGAGCTTCCCCAAGTTATGAGCACTTACCTCATCTTACTACACATACTTTCAATGTACATAAACAAAGGTCGTGTGGAACTGGTTAATTCATAATTACTCTCACTACTTAGTGCCAACGGTACAACCTGGACAATGAAGAACCGGAATTTCAAGATTGGCACCTACAGATAATGCATGTAATTAGGTAAAATTACTGTTTAGATAGTTGATAAAATGGATAAGGGTTTGTCCTAGAACTCAAAGCAGAAGACTCAATAGTTGAAAATACATATTACCCAGCCGACCTGAGCTTTAGTAAGAATAGGTTTAGTTGCGTATTAAAGACTAATGTAAATCAATTATTAAGTTGATATCTCCAACCTACATTCATGTATAACAGAAAGCTTTTGATGTAATAAAGCACTGAAAAATGCTCCATTCAAGGTTGAACAAAATCCCGAAAAATAGGAGGAAAATTGTGGGATTAATAAATGAATGAACAAGAAGTGTTGAAATGAAGGTGAACTGAAAATACAATGAAGACATATATCAATGAACAAGGTCCATTCTGCTTTTACGAGTACGACAGTTTCAGCAGTATTGCCGATGGTTACTATAAGGTATGTTTGATAATGCTTCAAGTCGGTGGGGGGTGCATGATCTCGAGAACTCACTCAAGATTATAGTAGGTCCGGGTCTTACACACTTATTTTCCAGCATACGGAGTCACAAACTAAATGGTTCGTCATCCTAAACAGCTAGTGTCCGCAAACAACGTGCGGTTTGCAAAATGTGGAGTCTATAATTAACCCTACGGTCATATACCAAACGTTGTGAGAAAAACTACCAAAACAATGCTATTTAGTAATATAAGAACATGTTAGGCTAAAAATAACGTTTTTCAGCATAAGTACCAACGATTCTTCCCTAACTTCCACCGAGATCACCGATCATAAAGTGAATCCACATTTAAACTATTTTGCTAGGTGTGTTCGTTATGTCTACAAACTACATACTTGTTGTGCTACGCATACATATACGAAATGACTCCTAGTATCATAACAGATGCAGCGAATTGAAAATATGGTCAAACGGGTGAGAACAAATACTTAAATTACTGAATTACTCAAACAGTCAATTGGCGAGACTAGTTTATCGACGAACCAATTAGATTAAGGCCTTAATCTAAACCTGCTATCCGGATAGCAGGTTTTGGTGCGAAACTCATTCATCTATTTGGCTAAATAGCGTTCCGCATTTTAGCTGACGTCAGGTCATGATGAAAACCCGAAATCGAACTCCTAACCATAGCCATTAGCTATAAACCAATCTTTGTTCTTGACACTGGTTTATAACTCTCATTTAGCCCTAGTAAACTGCTGGGCATTCACAAGGTCACTTTAGAGTTGCTCAAAGGTCGACCATAAATCACAGTCTCACTCGTCAATTTATTCCTGAAAATAAACTCACCACTTTTAAAAAGTTTCTTTTTGTGGTCAAGGAACTTTGCATACGGTTCAATAACAATAGGTTGGATCGGAAACTTAAACTTAGTGAGTAATATCAGGTATTACTTGACACTCGATGGCCATGTGAAATGCTCCCTTTTTAAAAGGCAAAAGATAACCGGCATCGGATCTTGTGCCCTCAGGAAAAATGAAAACCGAGACCTAGTGAAACAGTCAAAATGAAAAGCATTTACCTTATCCTGTTTGGCTTCTATGGCAGCTTTCTCCATGGCAGAAATAGCATCAGTATGATGGGATCGATCAATGGAAATAGTCTTGCTCAGCCACATAACTATTCCCAAAAATCCCATGAATTTAAGTGAAGCTTTGGAAACTACCGAGCAGCGTTTCGGCCATATGTCGCCCACACCTAGATTGTCACAGGAAGTAAGAATCTGTATGGATGAGTACCTGTGACATCTATGCAACTTTGATGATTCAAGACGTAAATACATGGTTCCCCAGACAGAAGATGGCCGTCCTCGACAACAGGATTTAAACCAATCATCCTTCCAGAAAATGCTAGATATCTTACAAACATCCTTGAAACGTTATGAGCGAAAAGTTATTACCAAGCATTTTCATATCTTCGGCCTTTGAAAGCCAATCGGATAGAACAAATAAATGACCCAATAAAGATCAATAAGAAGAAAACAGAAAATTTGACATAGTACTGTACTTTTGGAATCCGGTACAGTATGGGAATAGTGGCAAATAAAATAAACGCGTAATCTAACATACTCAACAGACCAATCTGCGCACGCTAAACAGCCAAACCCTAAAGTTGAGACTTTAGAACAAAAAAACAACCAGTTGTTCAACTTCATGTATCCAAAGTTACTCGTGCAAGCAAGGCACCCTTTCACTACAGAGCTTATTTCTCATGGTTTGACTTGATACATATAATTCATCTAGAACAAATATCTTACTCTATTTGAGAAATTCCAAGTATTGCCATGGAAATATTTACAAATAAGTTAATTTGTTAACAGTTCGTGTCATCATTGTAATTTTACATCATTCCGCTCATTTAGTAAAAATTCGGTGCTAACCAGAGAACTTTATTTAGGTTGACTTCCTCTAATCCACTTCATTATCCTGATGTCTTAATGATTATCGTTCTCTAAATACATGTGTTCGCATACACAACTCGTCCTGAATTTGTTGCATGTCATTTTCTAACTATGTATTGACACTCACACTGTACACGTTTTGCTTCATTTTATAAAGCATATTGACTGTTAGTTACGCGTTAACACTTTAGATCTATGTCCGGCATGCGCTGCAGAGAACTCTAAGATTCGGTTTATATAAGTCGAAAGTCCGGTTTTAGTTCCTGAATTACACTCACAGGTAACCAAATATACACGCATAGTGAGCGCAATCCACATGGAATTTTTATCTGAATTTGACGGCTTCGTTGACCAAAAATCAGAGGATACACCGTGTGACAAACTAAAGGCTGCAGTCATACGACGTACTTCAGCCTCAAACTAGAGACAACTACCTCTATTGGAGACTTGTGACGTTGGCGACAGAAAGCAATCATATTTTTCACGGTACTTGAAACGGTTGGTCGTAATCTAAAAACTAGGCTGCCTAGCTTTTTAGACAGATGTGGTTAACCAGGCTACCGTACAATGTAAAAACATTTTGCGTATGTCCGAAATATAAGATTTACACAGCAGAAGCTGATGTTTATGTCCCTGACTGAAAGGGCTAGGCTAAGCTATAAGGTAATATGTCAGAAGACGAATAAGAATTCAGAGATAACGCGAGGCTGTTAGTACTGGTTGGCGTATCATTAGTTTAGCGCAGGGAATAGGTCATATAAAAAGGTCTACTGACTGGCTATTTTATCATGTAATAAGTGACAGGCGCAAGGGTCATAACAATATTTAGCATTCATTCCATGAGTATGAAGTCTTCTTTCAGAAATAAACCATTCTGCAGATTCGGGTCAAGACCGATAAAACTAACAGTAGATATTAATTGGTGCCATAAAGAGTATGGTAAAAATGCACGGAAACCCACAAGATCGTATGGCTTTCCACTAACTGTCCGACACATCTCCGGAAACGGCTCAGTCAGATAGCTATAGTGACAACTATCCCTGGCCATATAAATAGTCGTCTTTACGTCTGAGATACAACACCAGGCATGGAATTTCTCGTTGATACCATTACGGAGGTTAACATAACCCCACCAATACTGTCCACACCAAACGTCCTACATGAAGTAACACCTTTCTAGAAACGGAAAATAGGGTTCACATCCCTAATAGTGGAGAGCGACCAATCGGATTAGACTGCGGCTTAGGTAAAACATAATAGTTTGGGAGCAGATTTCCAAAATTTTCACGAATTACTTATTAACATGAATGAGAAGAAACTTATCGATGCGAACCAACTACTTCCAATTATTGGCCTAATTGTTAGCAGTAAAATTTGTGCCATCCACATAATAAAGCGGAAAAAAGTACATTCATTGATAATTTGTATGAGTATTACTAAATCAGAAGACCTGGATACCATGTTGACAATGCATATCACTATATAAAACACTACATCTTTACTAAACTCCAACTATTCAATGCAAAACCACATAGACTGACCCTGAAAAAGTAAAAATCGTCAAGATATAGTTCGAAAACATGACGGAGTTGGGCATCATTTGACAATCAATAGCTCATGGGCTTCTCCATTAAACACGGTAGCACAGAACGATAGTGATTGATATTCATGCGGGATTATCATTGTTTGAATGTTCAGACCACAATAGACAAATACCTTATTTAGTCTCTCATTGCAATGAAGGTGATTGACAATAATGACACATCATAAACGGTTGAGTAAATCAGTCAGCAAGTCCTATGATCGACCTTTCCCATGTGGAGTACGTGTGTTGTATGTAATGCAGCAGTATATAAAACCCCAAAATCAACAGCTCTCTAAGTCTTCGACGTTTGATGCTGACCACATTATTTTCAATGGATCCACCTATCTGATGGCGTTCGGTCACACATTCGCACCACTTCACGAGTGGGAACCCTGTGTTCAACTTCTCTTACAACCGTTAGCCAGTTACTTCTCGATATATAACAACAAATGTGTCGTTGAACATCTTTGCTTCTGATTTCACTGGGTGGGAACGTTTCAATTAAACAAGGTTTTGCTAGTTAAGGTGTTATCGAACTCCAAATACTTGTGGTATATTCAGTATGAACTTACGATTCGTTGCGCGTCTGATTTTGAATTCCAAATACAATAGTTCTGTCTACTAAGATTGCGCTATTTTGGAGATTTCTAGTCCGTGGCTGATGCATTATCCTAAACAGAAATCAGTTCATTAATCCAGAGGTCAAATATTGATACAGGTCAGGCAGATTATACTGATTTAAAAGTCTGCGAAGCAAGATCTACATTAATGCTTAAACATGTCCCAACTACTATTATCATTTAGGATGCTGTCAAAGATACTGACCGTTTTTTAATATCCCGCACATAAATCAAGCATTTCAACACCCTATTTTGCTATCAAACTCTGGAATTACAGTGATGATGTCACAGGTATTCAGTGTTTGACAACGCTTCTACCAGTAACACCTTCTAATATATTTCGTTCCCGCCCAGAGAAATCAAAAGACAGAGTCGAGGAGATCGGAAGAGTATATTTGGCGATGACCGATATATCGGAATTCTCTGATCTAATCTGGCTAGCGATTGCGGTTGATGTTGAGCACGGCGTTGCCACACGCGATCTGGTGCGGATGCCTGACCGAGCGCCTTCAGCTAGGTGAGTCCACTAAAACATATAGTCAGCATCCAATGTCGAAAACTTAGTGCTATTTATTTCGGGGATTTATTTACCGCTACAGATCACTCCCCCCTAGTGGGGCAGTGACGACCCTAAGACGTGGCCAGCCAGAAGTTTAAACCCAACGAGTTTGTCGTTGGTAAACACTCTTCTGATAGCTTACTAAATTTAGCAGCGTCTGGTCGTTTTTCCTTACTATATGGGACGGAGGTACAACATAGTAAAAAAAATGCACAGTGAAAATTTCGGATCCTCATAAACGTCATCGTTCTTTTCCAGCCGTCCTGGAAAAGAAAAAAGAAAATGTATGTGCGTAACAACACAATGTCGGCGGAAAAAATGGAAAATAAACTCATGAACACGTAATAGCGTTAAAAAAATTTGTTTTTTTTAAATAGAAATAAAAATACATAAGCATATTAAAATTGTTTTTTTTTTTAAAAATAATATAAAATGTCGAGAAGTGCCTTACGTGTGATAGTCGTTTAAATGTTCTGGAAATCTTACTCTTCTTCCAGAACGCGTCGTTTTAAGTTTATTTTCGGATACTGTCGAAGTATCATCGTGTGTGTTGGTTGTCGGATGAGGAATTATAAGTGTCGGAGTCGTGTCATTCGATTGTACCGAAGGAAAATCGACGTGGATAGGATTTCCTTCTAAATACGCTGCTTTTAAGCGATCGATGCTGATGCTATCGTTGGTTCCGTTCTTATCGACTATATAGTACTTAGATTCACGTTGAAGAACTTTGAAGGGTCCTTCGTATGCTGATTCGAATGGTCGTCGATGCGAGTCTCGACGAACGAAGACGTGTGTTCTATATCGTAAGTCAGGTTGAACGAAAACATCAGTTGATTGAGGTCGAGTGGAAGCAGGTTTAACTGAACGCATTGCGTTTGTAAGCCTGTTCGTGTAGTATGTTAGATCCATGTTCATTGAAGAGGATGAAGGATCCACGAATTCTCCTGGAAGTAGAGGTGTCGTTCCATAAACGAGTTGAGCCGCAATGTATCCAATGTCAGCTTTGACTGCATTGCGGATACCTAGTAAGACAAGTGGAAGAGCGTCGGTCCATTGTGAAACGTTTGCAGCTGATAGCGAAGCTTTCAGTTGTCGGTGAAAACGTTCTACCAACCCGTTTGCTTGTGGATGGTAGGCGGTCGTTCGGAAGGGAGTGATTCCTAAAAGTGTAGTCAGACGACGGAAAAGTTCAGATTCAAACTGACGTCCGTGGTCTGTGCTGATGGTTGAAGGGCAACCGAAGTTTGCTACCCATCGTTCGACGAAGGTGCGGTCCACTGTTTCAGCAGTGATTTCCTTGATAGGTACTGCTTCTGGCCATCGAGCGAAACGGTCTACGCAGGTTAAGAGATAAGAGTATCCATTTGAATCTGGTAAAGGTCCTACCAAATCCAGATGAACATGGTCGAAACGAGCATCGGGAGTTTTAAATGAGCCTAAGGGACATTTATTGTGTCTGATAACCTTAGAGTTTTGGCAGCTTACACAGGAGCGTGCCCACTCCCTCACGTCTTTATTCATTCCAGGCCAGCAAAACCTTTCTGCTATAAGCTTGATGGTTGCACGAATACCTGGAAGCGAAAGTTTGTGCAATGTGTTGAAGACATTGCGTCGATAATGTTTCGACACGATTGGGCGATCCCTACCTGTAGATGTGTCACAAAGTAAGGTTTCCTTACCTGTTCCCATCTGTTTGATGCGTAGTTTAAGTGTTGTAGACGGTAACTCGTGCTGAAGATCACTGACTTCTTTTTGAAGCTCGGAGAGTTTAAGGAGGTCGATTCCTTGGAAACTGTTCAAGGAAGTTATGCGAGATAAAGCGTCTGCAACTACATTGTTTGCTCCAGAGATGTGTTGAATATCTGAAGTAAACTGCGAAATGTAGTCCAGTTGTCGAGACTC